TCTAGAAAGCAGATTTTTCATTCTTTTTAAATTGAACAGCTGCCTATCAAGCAATATAGCATTACATATTTACTGTGGTTTGGTCTCCTTTTTGCTTTTATTTAAAAATCAGATTTTATTTAATATTAAGAACTATGTAAAAGTAGGCACTGTTGAAATAAATGCAAGTCAAAATGAGACACGCTATTACCACATTGCGTTGATCTAAAATGTGACAGTGTATGATTTCAAATGAGAAGGAATAATACTGTTAAAATAGAAAAATCAAGTGGCAGATGTCTAGGAAGTGAGTCTGGACTCTTCCCTCCCATAAACTCTCAGATTTCCTTTCCAGACAAGCACATCATGAATATCAACATTTAAAATTTATTCTTAATTTTTTTAGATTCATTTATTTTTATCCTATATATATGAGTATTTTAACTACAAGTATACCTGTGCTGAATCTATGTACCTGGTGTCTCTGGAGAACAGAAGAGTTGTAGAATCCTCTGGAACTGGAGTTACAGATAGTTGGCAGCCATCATGTGGGTGCTGGTATTTTAAACCCCATCAGGGGTTAGAGTTCTTTGGGAAGAACAGCCCATGCTCTTAACCTCTGAGCCATCTCTCCAGCCCAGAAGATCATCATTTCAAGGCTACTTACACAGAACCTTAGTTCTTCTATGCTAGTTTAGACAAGTTAACCATCTATTCTTACTTTGCAGTTAAAATAAGCAACTACATAAGAATTCTGACTCTCCTTAATTCCCGATAAAACAGTACTTATGCCGGCCAGTGGTGTCACATGCCCGTAATCCCAGCACTTAGGAGGCAGGGGCAGGCAGATCTTTGTGAGTTCTCTGCCAGCCTGGTCTATGGAGTGTGATCCAGAATAGCCAGGGATACACAGAGAAACTCTGTTTTGAAAAATCGAAACCAAAAACAGAAACAAAAGTATCCCAGCACCACTTTTGCAAATGAACACAAGGGAAACTCCTATGGAAGGAAGACCCATCTCTTACATACCAATCCCCCCATTCTATCTCCCTCCCACCCTCCCATTTCCCCCACTGCCCCCCAACCCACTCTCCAAGGACAGTGAGGCCTTACTTGGGGGATCATCAAAGTTTGTCACATCATTTGGGGGGAGGGCCTAGGCCCTCCACTGTGTATCTGGGCTAAAATATTATCCCTTCATGGGAAATGGGCTCCCAAAGTCCGTTCATGCACTAGGGATAAATACTGATTCCACTGTTAGAGGTCCCATAGACTGCCCAGTCCTCCTAACTGGAACCCACAATCAGAGGGCTTGTTTCCATCCAATGCTGGTTCCCCAGCTTTACAATTAGGGTCTGTGTGTTCTCATTAGGTCAGGTCAGCTGTTTCTGTAAGTTTCTATAGCACGGTCTTGACTGCTTTGCTCATCCCCACTCCCTCTCTGCAACTGGATTCCAGGAGTTCTGCTTGGTGTTTAGTTGTGGGTGTCTGCTTTTGCTTCCATCAGCTACTGGATGAAGGAATCTAGAATGACTGAAAGACACTTAAGAAAGTGTTCAACATCCTTAGTAATCAAGAAAATATGAATTAAAACAACTCCGAGATACCATCTTGCTCATGTCAGTATGGCTAAAATAAAAAACAGCAATGATAGTCTATGCTAGAGAGGATGTGGAGAACAGGGAACACTCCTTCATTGCTGGTGGTAGTGAAAACTTGTATAGCCACTTGGAAATCAGTATAGCGGTTTCTCAGGAAAATGGGACTCAGTCTACCTCAAGATCCAACAATTCCACTCCTGGACATATACCCAAAATATGCATATTCATATAATGAGGACTTATGTTCATCTATGTTCATAGCAGTGCTGTTTGTAATAGCCAGAACCTGGAAGCAACCTAGATGCCCCTCAACTGAAGAACAGATGGAGAAAATGTGGTACATTTACACAATAAAGTACTACTCAGTGAAATAAAAACAATGGAATCTTGAAATTCACAGGCAAATGGATGGAACTATAAGGAACCATCCTGAGTGAGGTAACACAGTCACAGAAAGACAAGCATGGGTCTTTATCCATCTTTAGTTTCTAAATCTAGCACTGAAATCCTACTATCCAAGTCAATGAGATCCTATCAGGAACAACCCCAATGTATTGGGTTATGAAAGTATAACTCCCAAATCATGAACATAGATAGCTATCAGGTGCACTGTGCTTTCATAGTTAGCACCCTCTTGAATGGGATGCTTCTATTAGTCAGTGCAACTGACTAATTTTGACAGCTGTCATTGAATCATTTTTAACTAGAAGCAATGTTTTAGAATTGAGGCATCAGTGAGAACCAACAGCTCACCAGGAACATCTTGTATCAGGCAACAGTTTTCTTCTTTCAGGTTTGCATTTCCAATTCTCCACTCTGGTTTTGCATTTGAAGTAACCATTCTTCAAGAGGAACTATAATAATCAAATAATAATCTGTAAGGAACACTAAGGCCAAATATATCCACTGTATTTTATATGTGTTCTCATGGGACCTCTAATTTCCATGAGATGCACGAGTGAGTTCTCAGGAAAGAAAAATGCCCCCTGCTTTTCCTCTACCCTCTGAGAATCAAGTTTGATGTCGCAGTAACTATAAATGAATCCATTCTCAAAAGGCTGGTCCTCATCCCCAAGGAGAGGTGACTTTTCATGGTGCACAGCATGTTGCTGGCTTAGGAAATAAATTTCTGTTGGTGAGAATGTGTACACATACAATACGTGTTTCAAAGACAATGGAGCATTCTAGGAAAAAGTAATATTTGACCCACATGTTGAGGCAGAAGGGATAATGAGAAATAAACACAATTGTCTGCATATAAAGAGTTGCAGTTAGTAGCCTTAGAAAAGAATTCCTTCTTCTATTTGTTGGCTGTGGGTGGATTCTTTGCTAGGTTTGTTGAGTGCCCTTGCCCAACCTTAACTTTTACAGTTTCCCATGTCACTTGCAATTGTAAAGCAGCTTGTGGTCATCATACCGGCCAGCCTTGCCCTCCTAGGCGCCAACTGCCAACCTAGAATTTATATACGTTTTCCCCATCAGAACAGGGTCTTCCCCACTGTAACTTCTATTCTCATTCACCACACATTAAGTTCTAGCCCCTTAATGTCCTTCAGTGTTTGCTGTGCTGTGAAAAACTGCTAAAGGCCAGGGTGCCTAGATATCAACCTCATTCCTGTTACTGGCCTTCTATGTTTCTGAAAGTCACTTGTCTGCCTATTTGTCTGTCTGTCTATCCATAGTCTTTCTAACTACATATTTATGGAAGCTGTAGCTTCTTCAGTCATAACAAGAAAATTCATGCTGTAGTGTTACAGACTTGAATTTTACGATATAATTGTGCTCTTCTTGAGAACAGGACTCTTTTACCTAAGGAACCTAATGATTATTATGAGAAAGAGCTGAGGTTGTGGTGTGTGTGCGTGTGTGCGTGTGTGCGTGTGTGTGTGTGTGTGTATGTCTGTGTGTGGTATGTATGTGTTGTGGTGTGTGTGTGTGTGTGTGTGTATGTGTATGTATGTGTGTGTGGTGTGTGTATGTAGTGTGTGTATGTGTGTGGTGTGTGTGTGTATGTCTGTTTGTGGTATGTGTATGTATGTGTTGTGGTGTGTGTGAGTGTGTGTGTATGTGTGTGTGGTGTAAGTATGTAGTGTGTGTATGTGTGTGGTGTGTGTATGTATGTGTGTGTGAGTGTGTGTGTGGTGTGTATATGTATGTATGTATGTGTGTGTATGTTTATGTTTATGGAAAGCTTTCAGGGTAGTTTGGAAAAGTGAGGTAAGAAATGTATTTGGAAGAAGATAAAGAGGGATTTCAAAGTAGACTCTTGAGCTATGTCTGAAAGAGTGGGTAACGCTACAGTAGAGAATACATTCATTTCAAGTTACAGATGGAGAGGGCAGTGGAGACATCATGCTAAACTGGCAGAATTGTCTGTCAACGCTAGTTTTGTTAATATGGAGTGAGCCTTACATTTGGAGAGGACATTATCATTTCTCTTTGATACCCAGAAGAGATGTTCCCATTTTTTTGAACTCCCCCCCCCATTTCTTTTCTTCCATTGAAAGTTAACTGTTTCATTGTATTTCTGAAGCTTGTGAGTTTGTCTTTAAATAACAGCTTGCATAAACAACAAACTTTAAGTTAAAAGTATGATTATTAAACCAATTCAAGAGTATAGAATAAAATGAAAAGTAAGTGTCCTAAATCCCATTACATAAACCCATATCAATACTTTGATTTGTGTTAGACTAAGCATACAAGTTCCAGGGTGGAAGAATTGGCTGGGCCATGGATGTGATATTCCCTATCAGAGCTGACTATGAACAGATAAGAGGTTGTTGGCCCTGAAATGATTGTAAAGTATGCTGTCATCTGCCCTGCAGACCCTTGTGGCATTGTATGTATTTAGGTAGACAGATTTCTTTTCCTAAGTGCTGTTTTTGCTTACTAGCTTATGCCCATCATTCCATGTGATTAAATAGTCTTCTAAAGCATCTCACATACCTGGAATTACATATTCCATTGCCTGTTCATATAGTTTAAACTGATCTCCATTGTTGAAGGCTTAGACTTCTATCTTTGAAAAATAGCAAGCTATGTATGGTCCATAAACACAAATCTAAATTCACAACCATGATTATTTTCTTAAGATAAATTCCTGTGATACTGGAGTGTCAACGATTATGGGTATTTAAACACACTGATACATATTATTATTCTCAGGTAAGTGATCCACAGCAGCTTTCTATGAGAGAGTTTTCTACATTTCCTCAGTGAACACCAGCTCTCCCTTCATAAATACTACTAAACTGATTTCATTGTTATACCCACATATACTTATGTGGTTGTCTGTACTATGGTTGCACTGTAATATGGAATATATGCTGTATTATGGACTCATTAACCTGTCATAATGCATAAGCTTGAAAACATAGATTTCTTATGTGACTTCTAAATGTAACTGTCTCCATTTCCCAGGTGCCTGCATGAACATTACTCACAGCCAGTGTCAGATTCTTCCCTACCACAGCACCCTGGCACCCATCTTGCCAATTGTCAAAACCATGGATGTGGAGAAGTTCCTCAAGTTCTTTATGTACCTCCAACGCCTCAGTTGCTATCAACATATCCTGTTATTTGGCTGTAGCCTCGCCTTCCCTGAGTGCATCGTTGATGGTGATGACAGGTACTTTGGAACCAAATCATTCAATGATAAGAGCCAAGTTATTCTAGGGACAAGTGTCCAAGGGGAACAAATCGTCCTGTTGTTATCTTTTATTTTTGTTGTTTTTAGGGGAGAAAGGACCCATACCTGTCATAGTCTCTGAAACTAATGTATTTTTAAAATACAGATAAATTTTATTTATGGGAAGAGTTAAATTATCTATATATTAGTTGATGTTGTTGGGAGGACACTCAATTGCTGTCTCAGTGAGGGTCTGATAGAAGGAAAAAATGTACCCAAAGGGATAGCTGAAATGTTTATTGGTGAGACTGTTTCTGGAGGCATGGGAGAAGGAGAGGACAACTAGAAGAAGAGAACTACCAAGATCTCATGATGACGGGGAGTATTTCTACTAACAAAGTCTTGAAGAGAAGAAAAGGCTCGAAGCAATTGGAAAATAATAGCTTGGGTGAGTGGGTGGGTGGGGGTCACAAGACTGCTGTGCTATGACCAAAGGACAGAGATAGAAGACATGGAATAAATACCCCAACCCCCTTCTCCAATCATCCTCTCTGCTAGAGAATTCACTCACTAACAGGGGACAAAGGCATCCAGTGTGATGGATGAGATCCAAAATCTCATTAAACACCATCAGCTAAGAAGTCCCAAATCTCATTTAAATCAATTATGAATGGCATTCTGGATGGTTCTTCACATCAACATGAGGACCCAGTGCTGGGGTGGAGGACGAGATGTGGAGGGACAAACAGGGACTATTCAATAAGACAGAAATAATTTTCCATAACAGTCGAGCAACCCAGAGAAGCTCATGGTCATGTGAAGTACTCAATGTGTATTTGGAGAGCTTCAACCTATGTGCTAAGTACCGATTCACATACAACTTCAATTACTTTTTGAATTGAAATGTTAGGAGCTTTTCAGAATAGTAATAGTAGAATACATCTCGTTTTTCAAGTGCCACCACATCACATGTTACTCATGATAATTTGAGTATGTCTTTTATACACTGTTTACATTGTGTGTGAAACACAAGAACAATATGTTTCAGGCAAGCACCTGTTATTTTAATTGCAAGATGCGGCACCGCCACTGATTTGAGGTAGAGCGGAAGCAGTGAGTGTTGAGCCCTAGAAATAAAGGACTGTGGGTGTGTGCAGAATTTGGCAGTCAGGTTCAGAAGGTGCTTTCATGGTACACAGAAAGAGAAGCAGGATTTGATCTTTCTTGTGGGTTAAACTATGGGATGCTTGTGTGGACTGTGGATATGAGTCAGTGGCATAGTGCTGGCCTTATGCCCTGCACTATCGAAAAAAAAATGGTCACCAAGAGATGCTTAAGTGTCTCAGACTGTGGCAACATATTTGGTGGTTGCATTGGTTTTCTTGGGTTGCTTTAACAAATCGCCACCTGCTGGGTGGCTTAAATAACAGAAGTGTCTTCTCCCACAGTTCTGAAGGCTGAAAGTCCAAGAGTCTGTAGGGTTGTCTGGTTTCCAGGACTCTAAGGGGAAAATTCATTTTTCCCTTTGCTAGTTTTCTATTATTTCTGTTCCTTTGTCTTGGGCCCGCGTTTCTCCAGTTCCTGCCTCTGCCATCATGAGAATCCCTGACTGACTGCAGCTCTTCCTCTTTTCTGTTCCATAAGGATGCTGCCATTGAACTCAGGGTTCATCCACACAAGCTAAGATAAGAGCTTCCCCTCAAGACCCTTAATTATCTTCACAAAGACCCTGTCTCCAAGTGAGATGACATTCCTTGTTCTGGAGAGTAAGATGTGGACCTCTTCCTTTGAGGCAGTGGCTGGAAAAGCAGGCTAAGGGAGCTGTGTGTCATGGCCTCTTCATCCACAAAAGAGAAATAATAGTTACACTTACATTACATAATTCATGTGAGGATTTGATGATACATGGAGCTTGGGGCATACCTGGCTCTTAGAAAGAGCTCAGTAAATGTTAGCAGTGACTATGAAGTGATTTGTGAAGGACAAGTAGAATTTATGAAGTGGAGACCAAAAAAGTTCTTCTACTATATACACTATGTGTGAAGGACCTCAAAAATAAATAATTATGTAAATAAATGAAGTGCTCCTTTGCTTAAAACGAAATCTCATAAAATGCCAAAGTGCTTTTTGTTTGTTTTTTGGAGCTGGATTCTCATCTCATTTATGTTTAATTTCCAGGAATTCCCCTTATATCTTTTTGGATTAACTTCTCTGTGGATTCACGCTTATGCGCAGAAAGACAAGGAAAGGGAGTGTATTCAGAGTCTTGGAACCACTAGGTTCATTATGGTGATTCTCTTTATCCTAACTCAGTCACTGCTTGCATAAACTCCGCTGCCCACAGTTTCCAGGGCACTTTAAGATAAATTTGTTTTTCCCTTGACCTGATTTATCCTTTGATAACTACACTAATATGAGAGTTTTCCATTTTCTGTTATAATGAATAATAATTTACAGTTACTTTTTAAGTGTTCTTTGGGGACTTATCCTATTTTTATTATTATATTTTGTTTTATAATTGTGCTGTTAGACCATGCTTCTGCTGTCATTTAGTGTGTACATGGGAACTGCAACCTAATTTAATAACCAGAATAAGTTTAGCAAAGTAAATGTAGAAAACCATTATTAGGTCAAACATATTTTTCTTGTGTTTCACTATTTTGTATCATCTATTATATACCACACTATTCAAATAAAGGAAAAGTGTTTGTTTTCTAACCTACAGAAAATAGTTACTTAATAACATTTAAAATTTAATTTTAAAAGATTACAGTGGGACTATAAACAGTATAGTTTCTAACCCAATTCTCTGAGGCCGCAGATACTATTTAACTACATTTTGTGTTGGAAGAATGGACTTGAATGATCTTTATTTTGGACTGTGATTGCTTTCACTAAATGTGTGTTGACATACTACTACGCAGTCTAGTTGAAAGGCAGGAGGATATATGGATTCAGTGAAGTATATTTAAAACTATAAAATTTTAACTGATATACTGTTGGAATGACTCTAAAATTTGTAGGTTAGAAGGTGTTGCTTAAAGATATCAGGTGGCAGGTGTTGTTGATACATGCCTTTAATCCCAGCACTCGAGTAGCAGAGGCAGGTGGATCTCTGTGAGTTTGAGGCCAATCTGGTCTACAGAGTGAGTTCCAGGATAGCCAGGGCTACACAGAAACCCTTTCTCAAAAAACCAAAACAACAACAACAGCAATAGTAAAGATACCAAATAGCTAGCAAGAAAATATTGGTTAGTTAAAAGAGTATCAGATGTGATGACCTTTTGATATATGAAATACATGCCAAATTTTGGTGTGCTTTTGATAGGCAACTGTCACTTTCTTCTACCTCCTTCAAACAGTTGGCTTCTCATTTTATCTGTCCGGAGAAGGTGTTAATATCATCCTTGACTTAGCTTCTATAAGATTCTCCAGAAATCATGCTGACTTCTTATCACCCCATTCAAATCTTCTACTATGTTTCAGGGAAGGTCCTTACTTGTGATTGATAGGTTAAAGTTAGGAAATCAATGCATTGGTATTTGGTCTTTCTCAGGAGTACTGACCTGTGACCAAGCTTCAGCAGAAATACCCAATGCAAGGAAATAAAAATTCTTTATGTGTGTAGATGGCTTGAGATTAAAGATCATATCTCAAATGTAGGACTATTTCCCCTAGTAGTCTAGATTCCTATAGGTTTGAGTTGTAGAGTAAATGAATATCCTCAAATGAAGGTGTGTGTGTGTGTGTGTGTGTGTGTGTGTGTGTGTGTGTGTATGTGTGTGTGTACTATTGCTTGCTTGTAGAGGTCAACCTCAATGTCATTCTTCAGGAATAAGATGCCTTGTTTTCGGAGACAGTGTCTGTTGTCTGTCATTGGCTTAGAGCTTGTAGAGTAGATAGGCTGGCCAGTCAGCGAGCTCCAGGCATCCTCCTGCTTTCTTCACTCCCCAGTGTTGGGATTGCAAGCACTTGGGCATCATGCCCACCTTTTTTTTTTTTTAAACACCAGTTATAAGAATTGAACTCAGGTCCCTGTGCATATGTGGCAGGCACTTTACTAAGTGAAAAATATTTCTGAAAATGCCTTGTCATGTTACTGCCAGTGTCTGGAGCACTTGTACTTCATTCAGCCAGTATAGTGGTGAGTTCATTTACTTTTCTCTCCAGGAGTCTAGTATGTGACTAGAACATAGAAATAATACTTATTATTCCATTCACTTGAAAATCCTTATCATTAGTGTCACTTTATTATACACAAAAATCAAAACAGCTGTAATGTCGCAGCTGTAAGTTGCTTTTGATATTTGTTAATCTCTTATCCCATGGGTCTTGGTGAGTGTACCAAATACTAAAGATGATAAGCATCCCATCAGTTGGAAGGCATGGCTTTGATATTCTTTCAGCAGTTATTTTGTGGCTTTTTGTTATTCCTGCTCACTTAGGTCAACCTGTTTTTATCTGTTGGTATTTCCTTGAGTTTTTCTGTCCTAAGAGTGAAACTCTAAAGTTGTCAAGTCAATCTGCTTGTGAGCGTGTTATCCCTTTTGCTGACACTTTTCTATTATATGGGAAGAATGTAAATACGGATTAGCCTGTGTAGACTTTGTTGCTCTGAGGGAGAAGTAGTGTGGGAGGCAGAGAAGCTTCCACCCTTACACAGCTCCCTGAGCTGGGAGGAGAGCACTGTGGTGATGGCTTTCCTTTCTCATTTGCCAGGGACAGCTGTATTCCTAGTGGTGCCTAAGTCATTCTCTGTATATTTCACTCACTTATTCAGCAGGTGCCTGGGTGTCCCCATGTGCAGACTAAGGAGACAGTTGCAAATAAAATACAAATGAACCCTTGGCCTCGTGGAAATTTACATTGTATTGGAGGGAGATAAACAAGTCAGCAAGTTAATCTATGTATGGACGCCTTAATATTGAGATCATTTCTTATTCTGGCTCAAGAAATCCATGACAGTGACTTTCACTTGAGTGGAAATTATGTTTGCTTTT